ACCCCACATCGTTAATTAAGGAGCACATCACATATCTCTCTATATCACAATTCTATCTTTTAACATGTGTGTCATCACATGTCTTCTAATATAGAGCCCACCTACCACAATTCTATCTTTTTCCCATGTGATGATTTGACAAAAGGGTTTTACACATCTCTGTTTGGCATCTTTCATAATAGTGGCATTAATGTTTTTATGCATCTTTAACTATGTGATGAATTGACAGATTTTCACACATCTCTCTATAAATCCAAATCATACGTCAATTCTATCTTTAACATGTATCATTATATTAACATGTAGCATCATATATATTCTAATACCATTCACTAATCTTCTTTCCATGTATCATCATTATAGTTTCCTCCTATAAATTATTTCTATCATTTGGGTAATTTTTAAATTATTTCAATCATGGCTCTTTCAAGTTATGTATGAATGGTATCTGCGTATCAATACAAAAAAAATTCATTCTACAATTAAAAAAATTAACATTTGTCAATGTTACAAAACAATTCACCATTCATCAATGTTCCAAAACAGGAACTACATCCATTTGTCAAAAATATCATCAATTTCCTAGCACTGCTATTAAAGAATTTATAAACCTTTTAGAACTTGAGCCTTAGTGTCTGCACTTGTCAAAAAACCATCTCATTGTCCATGGTACAAAATCCAAGTAGCTGTATCACACAAGTCTCAAATTCAGTATGCTAATCACAAAAAGGAAAAAGCAAGATTGGCAAGCACAACACAACCATTTATATTTCCATGAGGCAATTCTCATGTTCTCAACTTCATACAGCGTACATTTGTAGAAACACAATCAGTTATTTTATTGAAGGAAAAATAAATACACACTTTAACACATTGAAAAATAAATACACACCAAATCCCGAAGGAGGAGGAGATGATTACATGCCTGGCGTCATTCAATCCACGCATCTCTTAACGAGTACTTTCGCTCTATATACTTTCGCTTCATACATCAACAACTGAGACAATCAATCAAAACCTCCACATACGATGATCCCATACTCCCATGCTTTCAACATTTTAAAACAAGAAATAAAAATGCAAATTAGTGATTTTCGACTAAAAATTATATGTGACCCTAGTTGGAGGACTAAAAATTCCTAAAAGATTGTAAAAGTCAGCATCATTCCTTTAATAATATACAAGTGATGGGCCCTAACTTTCCAGTTTTTGAGGTAAAGAGTTAAATGGCCCAAAATTATTCCCCCCTCTCTATTTTTAGCACATAGGCCTTGGGCGTCCCTTCCAGTCAAGAATTTGGGCCTCAGAGTCACTAGCCAATATGTTTTTCTCTCATGCCTGCCTTTGTTTATAGCTTGATATTCCTATCAATAAAACTTTATGTGGTAGACAAAATTAATTTGAATTACTAAGAATATGTGATTTTTAATTTTGGATTAGTGATTATTTTTAGATTATAATGAAATTGGTGATATTTGAGAAAAAGTCTAACGAAAATGTCCAAATTACGTACACAAATAAATATAAATGACCAAAATATACACATTGCCTCACTCATCGCTTTGTGCCTATAGCATCAATTTCATCTATAAAAATAATGAAAGGAGATTTCTCTTTCGAAGCTGAAAAGCATCACGAACAAGTTTTGCTCCATCTCTAATGAACATGTATGAGCAGTACAAGTATGATTTACTACTTCAATTGTAAAAAATAAATCCTAATAAACACTTAAATAAATCAACCAAGAGATATTCTTTGTTATGGATGTCAAAAAAGTATAGGAAATTTATTTTTATAATTCTGAATAATGTTCTTGTCAATTTTACCAACTGAAAAAGTGAGTTCCATATAACTACTCAATTCATTTACACAAATGCCATCTCCTTAGTTTAAGACCAGATACACTTTAGCAAAAAAAATTTGTTTACTAGTCCAAACGTCTCTTAAGATTCAGACCAAAAGAGTAAATTTCCATTATATAAGCAACAAACAGAAACAAGAAACAATATATCCATTTCCTGATGTACCAAAAAAGATAAAAAGGGAAAGATCAAGTACAGGAAAACTTGATGCAAATTCATCAAAAGCAATCAAAATCCTAAACTAAAAAAAAACATATCTTTCAAAAACTGAATTGACAGGCTTTTCAGAAAGGGAAAACAAAAGTCTTTAGAATCTCCAAAGTTAAATATGATAGGGATTATTACATATAAATGGGGTTAGGGCACCATATTTACTAAGAGGCTGAGTCAAAGTCCCATAGTTTGCCTAAAATAAGTTTGACCCAAAAGCTGAGGTGGCACATGGATTTCAGCAAACTCAACAATAAGATTATGTTTCAACCACATAACTTACAACTTCAAAGACAACAAGAGGTGGACAAAAAAAAAAAAGGATAACAAAACTTCAAAGACAATTTAAAGATCAAAAACTTTAATTTGTCTACTAATGGAAAAATAATATGTGTGTATGTGTGTGTGTCAACAAGAGGTGGACAAAAAAAAGGATGTCAAAAACTTCAAAGACAACATAAAGATCAAAAACTTTAATTTGTCCACTAATGGAAAAATAATGTGTGTGTGTGTGTGTGTGGATCAAAAATTTTAATTTGTCTACTAATGGAAAAATAATGTGTGCGCGCGCGTGCGTGGGGGTGTGTGCGTGCGTGCGTGCGTGTGGGTGTGTGGGTGCGTGTGAAGATATGACTTATCAGTATGAAGTGATGAAAGCACTCTAAAATTATAGAAGGTCCGTAGGATGCTATAATTGTAAAATTTGAAGATAAAGCAAAATTTGAAAATTATTAGATACTAAAATGCGAATAATTTCATTTTATTGTTCATACAGAAGGGCAAATTGAAGATGACATTCCTCACAGAATTTAAAACAAGTTACATTAAGTAGGGGAGTGTTTTTTTATGTGCAGTTGACGTATATCTTTAAAACTAAAAAAATTATTATATAAGCCATACATAATTTATAGGATGGAATGAGGGGTGATTAACAAACATGTTCATAGATGGAGTGTGGGGAAATGCAAATATTGAGAAAATGCATGCTAACACAAGAAAGAATAAAATTAGGAATAAATACAATTTTCAGATGGTTTTTCTTTTCTGGCAATGCATTCATGAGAGTTGAGACAGATGAAGCAACACACATTGGGAATAAGATAAAATAAAATTAAAAAAATGATTAAGTTGGCTACCAATAACTACATATGCAACTAGAAAAAAAACAATAACTACATATGCGACAAAAATGACATGGTCCACATTGAAGACAATGCAAAGGGAAGGACAAGATAAAACTTAACATGGATTGAGATAGTAACAAAGGAAAGCAAAGTCACAACACATATTCTGCTACAGATATGCAGGCTTTAGAGTGTGATGACACACAGAAAACAAAGAAGACAACAAGAACTAATATTATTTAATATTATTTTTTTTCCAGTTTTTCACCATGTTAATTCCATTCTATCACTGAGTTGCTTTTAGGAAACTTATAAATAACATAACAAAGGAAAGCAAATGTACTAGCAAGCATGAGTAAAGACTTCTCAGGTGATGAGTCCACGCAGTGTGAGTAGTAATCATGATGCAACTAATAAGCTCCATATGATCAAAGTAGTTTCACGGCTTATTTACCATTAAGCAGTAATTGCCATGGACTGATATAGATATATATTCAAAGAATATAATTTTAAATTTTTAAGCTCATTACATCAGCAAACTATAGAGCATTTCATTTTATTTTTGTCCAAATCTGAAAGCTACCTTACAAATCAACAAATAATTTCATTATCACACACATGATCCAAAATCAAAGAGAGATACCATTTTAATGGAAATATCAAAAAATAAGATGTTTGGATATAATTGAAAATCAAAAATTGAAATTGAAATTAGGGTAAATGGATTTGTTAATTAATTAAGGTTTGGAGACATTAGCTCATCTCTACCTACAAATCCTTTTAGAAATTTCACTATGTGCCAACACCCAATTTGGCCACTGTGAAATTTTTTCATGTTTTTATTTTTATTTTATCAATTCAACTTTTTTTATTTTATTTTATATTTATCATCAATGTATATTGCAAAGGAAACCCAATCAACTACGTAATTCACATGCAAAAGAGTATCCAATCAACAATTCAACTATTCAGACCACTGCCAACAACCACCATACACTCAACACTTACCCGAAAAAAATTTAATTGCTTCAATTTTTTTTTTTTATTTGCTGCAAAATCAGTACTTAACCAAAATTTTTTTTTTTTAATTGCTTCAATTATTATTTATTTTTTTTTAAATTTTATTTATTTATTATTATTATTATTATTTGTTTATTATCAAAATCAGCACTTACCTACAACTCGTCGGAGAAGAGCCAGCCGAAATCGCCGGCGAGACAATGAAGCAAAGAACAGCCAGCCGACAAGCTCGCTGGAAGAAAACGGTCAAAAATCGCCGGAGAATGGCGACCCACAAGCTCGCCGGAAAGACCCTGCCGCGATCAGAGAAGAACCTAGCCGCGACTCACAAGCTCGCCGAAGAAAAACGACGCAGCGAAATTGTTGGAGAACAACGACGCAAAGAACCCAAATCGTCCTAAAGAACGACGATTCAGAAACTTGCCGGAAGGAATCCAGCCGGAATCGCTGGAGAAACCGGCGATTCAAAAGCTCACCGGAAGGAACCCGCAACCCAACAGCAATCGCCGGAGAAGAACCAGCCAGAATCGCTGGAGAGCAGGGCGATTCACAAACTCAGCGACCTAAACTCGGCAAAGAAAAGCAACCCAGAACCATGGCGCAAGAAATCACAGCCGCGACACCGTGGAAGATGAGAACAAACCATGAGGGATGGACGAAGGAATTGGGAGTGGAGGTTGGGTTTAGAGAGTTGTAGGGAAAGAGAAGAATCTGTGAGGACAGATGAAAAATTCGAAAGGAGAAGAAGAGTGATTTATTTGGGGTTTGAAACTAAGGCAGAGATATGCGAAAGGTAAAGCTAAAAAGGGCGCTCGATCACCTTATGGGTATTTTAGGCAACACAGAAAAAAGGGGAAGGGCATTTTAGGTAACACAATTTTTAAACAGTAAAACTCCATATGCCACCTCAGCAATTCAGTCAAACTCATTTTAGGGAAACTATGGAACTTTGACTCAGCCTCTAGGTAAATATAGTGCCTTAACCCCATTTATATGTAATAATCCCATATATATATATATATATCTGTGCGTGTGTTGTGCATGATATTAAAGGGATATGGATTAATTAAATTACTTCTATTTCTCTATTTTGGGCAGAGGATGAGCAAGGACTTAACCATTCAGCTTTACACTTCACCTTGCATCATGTGCTTGGACATGGCTCGCCTCTAACCTCCCGGTCTCCGCTATCCTTCTCCGAGTTACTAACTCGGGATCAAGCACGAGTTAAGCATCTCAGCTCCAGACTCACCAAGAATATAACAAGCAGTGTCACAGAAAACCCTTTTGGATCAAATCTCGTCAGCACACCCGTGAACTCTGATATGTCTGTTGGTGTGGGCCATTACTATGTCAAGGTTGGTCTTGGCACTCCACCCACTTACTATCCCGTGATTGTCGACACCGGCAGCTCCATCTCCTGGGTGCAATGCAAGCCTTGCGAGGTGCACTGCTACCAACAGGTCGTTCCCTATTTCGATCCCTCTGCAACAAGCACCTACAAAAGGTTGTCGTGCACAACACCCGAGTGCAATTCATACGATAGCGGCCATTGCACGCCCTCTAATGATTGCTCGTACGAGGCTAACTATGGGGACAATTCTTTCACTGTTGGCTATTTGAGTCAGGATTCACTAAGCCTAACACAATCGGAAACACTGCCTGGTTTTGTGTTTGGGTGTGGGCAGAACAATAGTGGGTCGTTCGGTAGGTCTGGTGGTCTTTTCGGCCTGGGTGGTAACAAGCTGTCTATGGTCTCCCAGCTGTCAACCAAATACGGAAATGGCTTCTCCTATTGCCTCCCAACAGTGAGTGGAGGCAGTGGAGGCTCGTTGTCCATAGGAAGGGATTCGCTGACGGGACCACCCTACAAGTTCACTCCAATGCTTCCTATTCAACAAGACCCGGGCTACTATTTTTTGAAGCTGTCCGCGATTGTAGTGGCGGGCAGGACACTGCAGGGAGTGTCTGAGGCCGACTACAACATTCCAACAATACTAGATTCAGGGACGACGCTCACGTATCTGCATCCGTCGGTATATGCAGCTCTCCGCGATGAGTTCAAAAAGATCTTGTCCTCCAAGCACGAGGCTCTCCCGAGTAATTCTAATGCGTGTTATCAAGGTAGTTTGAAGGAGTTGTCAGCAGATGTGCCTGAAGTTCGGTTGGTGTTTGAAGGAGAGGCTGAACTCACTCTTGCTCCTCAAAACATTCTTATTGATAGGAGCGGCGGATTTACTTGCTTGGCCTTCGGGACACTCGGCCCCAACTTAGCGATTGTTGGATACATTCAGCAGCAGACGTATAGTGTGGCTTATGATGTCTCCAATTCAAGATTTGGTTTTGCTGCTGGGGGCTGCAGCTAGTTATTAAAATGATGGTAACTTTATCTCATATATTTATGAATAATATGGCATCTCATGAAATAGAGTCAGGAGAACACTCAGCAACAACCCTTTTTATATGATAGATGAAGATCCCATGATGCTAAATTGTTCTTTTTTGTGTTTTTTGGACTCAATATTGTGTGAGCTAACCATAGGCCTTTTATAGGCCCCATGTTACATGGGTATAATCAAATTATATAGTGTTATTTATTTTGTCCCTTCTGTTAAATGAGTTATAATCGACCCATCAAAGACAAGTATCTAATCAAGCGACACATCAAACGTATTGGATCGGACGGTTATGACCATTTGGTTACGGTTGAAACTGAAGACACAACCAAGTATCTAATCAAGCAACACATCAAAACACATGGGATCAAACGGTTATGATCATTTTAATCATGATTAAAACTGAAAATATAAGACAAAAATATTATCGGCAAAAAACTGAGTGCGCAATTTTTTTTCCAAAGAACCAAAATAAATAAGTAAATAAAAAAACAATAAAAAGAAAATAATTGAGATAAGTTATACAAAGCAATATAGAGTCACAAGCCAAGTCACGTTGAGTGGGAGCAGGAGCGGGAGCGCGAGAGTGGCATATCCCAAAAAATCTTAAAGTAGGAGCGCTGCTAGAGCACAGCATTATAAATATATAAAATATTAATTTATAATAGTAAATATATGTTTTAAATAAATTTCATACAAATAAAAAGACAAAATAGTAAATCAAATATGAGTCCATTACAACCAATATAACCTGCTTTATAAAAATGCATAAATTAACAAACATAACAATCAAACAAGCGGCTTTATAAAAACAAAAACATATGAATAGGGCATAATAGAAAAAGCAATGTTCAAAAATATTGTCTTTTATACATTTAACCTGCTTTAAACTCTCAAGATGACAATTATTGTCTTTGAAATAGCAATGTTCAAAAGCATATGAAAAGTATATGAAATAGCAGAGAGAATATGAAATGATGGAACAAGAGTAAGACTATAAGAGTGAATCAAGAGTCAATTACTAGTGAAAGAAGTTCAAGAATCATGAACCCAACACTTAATAGCAGAGAGAAAACTAAGAAATCACAATCAGAATATGAAAAATTATTCATTTATTTATTTCTTTACTAATAAATAAGTATTATTAAATATTAAGTATATTGTTATATTATTTGATTTTTACCTATAAAGTACAGAGTTTACTTAATTAAATTAAATTGATTACTTTTTGATATAATTAACCTTATTTGGTCTATTTAAGTTGGGGGTAAAATCGAAATTTCTCAAGATTCACACTAAATTCATGAATTTTTTTGTCAAAAGTCGTTGAATTCTTAAACAAAATACGTGATTTTATCTTACACAATTCGTTGAATTGAACTTTAAGAATCAGCGAATTCTTAAATTGAATTTGCGAATTTAAAAACATGAGAGTGTGAATTTTTGGCGAATTCGCTCTCAAAATGCCAATTCGGATGCGGAGTGATGAAGCATGAGTGGTTTGAGCGAATTATGTGACTTAGGTCACAAGAATCATCGCTCTGTCCTCTCCCTTCCCATATTTATTTATATTTTACTAACTAATAGTGCCTACTGCCTAAGTATGCATAGATTAATATTTTATGATAGACGTATCCCTTGTGATTGAAAGGGAAATTTTATTAAACAACTATTACACCTTCCACACTACGAACAACTATCAGGCTCTGGTCAGTGACTTATTCCTCTGGATTGAACCCTCTTACTGATTAATGACCACTCATAACGAAAGAAATATATTACCTCATCCCAAAATAGTGTTAAAAGTTTTGAGAATTTAACTTTTTAAGTGTATGAGTTTTAGTATTTAATTTTTTGTTGGATTGATATTGAATGTGTTACTATATTTATTTACAGTGGATATGTAAAGATATGATTTTTACTTTTTATTGGTTGAATGCAAAAATAAAAATTTAAATTAATAATGTTGAAAAAAAAAATTAACACTTTGATTTTACAAATGAGACATTCAATTTAAGATACCTAAAAATGAAAAGATTGACATGTATTTTAGAAGAGTATATAATTTACATACACGCTTCATCAAGAAGCATATAAATATTTACAAGAGTGAGTAGGCACAGAACCACATTGGGCCCGGGCGGGCTGCTGCCAATCGAGCTTAACATGGTTCTCCAATAAATAAATATATATATATGTATAGGGCAATAGATTTTCTGGGAATCAAACCTTGTAGATTTTACAAAAATAAAAGAATTAATATATATAAAAATATATATTTACTTTATTATATATAATTTTTAAAATTTATAAAATGTTCTATAAAATTCTCTCTTATTGAAATTCTCTCTAACTTTTTTTTTTTTTTTTTTTTTTTTCATTTCTCTTAAACTGTATTGTTTTTTCAAGTTTCTCTGTTCCCTTCAAAAAAAAAATTTGCATTCACTTTCTTCAATCAAACACTACTTTTTTTTCTCTTCAAAGTTCTTTTAATTTTTTTTTTCTTTTATTTCTCTTGTAGACACTAAAATTTCTTGAATTTTATTGATTGGAAATGATCATATAAGTATTTCATCTGCACATACTCCACTTAAATATTGAAAAATTTCCCTCCACCTCAAAAAAATCACACCACCTTTTTGGATCAAATTTCATCAGCACACCTGTGAACTCTGATATGTCTATTGGTATGGGCATTTACTATGTCAAGATTGGCCTTGGCACTCCAATCAGTTACTATCTTGTGGTTATCGACACTGGCAGCTCCTTGTCCTCGCTGCAATGCTAGCCTTGAGCCGGCTACTGCCACATCCAGCACCTACACAAGGTTATCGTGCACATGACCCAGTGCAATTCACTCAAGGAAGCCACTCTAAATGACCCTGCTTGCACTTATTCTAACGAGTGTCTGTACGCTGCTACCTATGGCGACAACTCTTTCTCTAGTGGCTACTTGAGTCAGAATTCATTGACCCTAACCGAATCAGAAACATTGCCTGGTTTTGTGTACCGGTGTGTGCAGGACAATAATGGGACGTTCGGTGGGACTGCTGGTCTTTTGGCCTCGGTAGTAACAAGCTGTCCATGTTCTCTCAGCTGTCAGCAATGGCGTATCCAGCCCAGCCCAAAAATATATATATATATATATATATTATTAGTATTAGCCAACTCAAACAAAGCCAACTCAGATAAGTCACAATACTAAGGCCCAAGCCAAACAAGTCCTAATAAAAAAATTTGCTTAAGAAATTGTGTTACTAAATTTATATTTAATTTTAGCCCACTCCATTGATAATTTCTGGATCCGCCCCTGGCTGTCAGCCAAATATGGAAATGTCTTCTCTTATTGCCTCCCAACAAAGAGCGGAGGCAGTGGAGGCTCATTGTCCATAGGAAGCGATTCATTGACAGGATCATCCTACAAGTTCACTCCAATGCTTACTAATTCTGTAAAAAACAGTTTGTACTATCTGAGTTTGTGCGCAATTGCAGTGGCAGGCAGGACACTGGGAGTGGCGGAGACCAAGTACAGGGTTCCAACAATCATAGATTCTAGGACGGAGATCACATGCCTGCCTATGTCAGTATACGCTGCGCTGTGGGATGAGTTTGCCAAGATCATGTCCTCGAAGCACGAGATTGGCCTGTCTTTTTAATTTCTTGACACATGTTATAGAGGGAGTTTGAAGGAGATGTCTGATGTGCCTAAGGTTCGGATGGTGTTTCAGGGAGAGGCTGACCTCACTCTTGCGCCTCAAAATATTTTGGAGGATGTTGCTGAGAAGGGCAGTACGTGCTTGGCCTTCGCAGGTCGGCCACTGATGATATGGCTATTATTGGAAACCATCAGCATAGACATATAGTGTGGCTTATTATGTCGCCAGAATTGGGTTTGCTGCTGGGGGCTGCAACTAGTTATTTAAATGATTGTAACTTTATCTCATATATCAATAAATCAGGCACATGAAGTGGAGTCATGAGATGCTCTGTAACTATCCTTTCTACATGATGGATGAAAATCCCATGATCCCGAATTGTTGTTCTTGTTTGGCAACGTAAATTTCAAGTTTGTGTATAAACAACTAATTATATTGTTTTATAGATTGGTAGATGCAGAGAATTGAAACCTAGCACTCAAAGTTTAATGGAAACACTAATCCATTGGACTATCGAGGCATCTTCACCCTCTTCAAAATTTAATGAAGCTAGCTTTTACAATTCACATGTTCATAAAGTATTACCCTCCATGAATTACTGTATTCATGTATATATTGATCTAAAAATAATAATTTTGATCAATCATGTTATTTTAAATTATTTTTGACTTGTTGCCTACTCAAAGAGGCTTGTATTTAAATCAAATGAACCAATTTGTATAGGGTTGTTTAATTTCATATTTTACCAATTATAGAAATAGCTCTTAGATATTTTCTCTCTCTAGAACTAGGGTTTTGGAACAAAGCAAAGAGGAAGAAGATGGTGCCTACATTGAAGAAAACCCTTAAGGGTTCTATGGCCACTACCATGAGTGGCTAGATCATTCTCTTGGGGCTAGAGATAGCCCCTAGGCTTGCTTCTTAAACTTAGTATTTTGTAATTTTTTGGGATTTTAGTTGTAAATGATGTTTTGACCATGAATAAATATAGATCTTGTGTTTTTACATCATTTGTATGAATTAATGCTTCCAATTGATCTTTTAATTCTATTCATATATCTATGTATGTTAGAATGAATGGTCATACTTTTATCACTAGGTTTTATGAGTTTGATGCATGTCTATGTGTGTTGAAATTATAAATCTAGTGATGGTCAAGACGTGGTACTTAATTGATTACTCTTGTGGTTTGTTTGATGGATCACGCTTATTTGTTGATGGATTGTGCTACCTCCTTAGCTTAATTAGGTTAATTTCCTTGTCATTAGAGTAATTGTAGTGTAGTTGCTTTAAATTATTAGATAGGTTGCCAAT